AATAGACTATTTAATACATATTTTGCAATGGAATGGAATCCATCTCAAAAGAATAGAAATAAACCTGTCTATTTTAAAACTATTTTGTAATTACTCGACATTTTCTTTGATAAAATAGGATTGTGATAGCCTATTTTTTTCATATTTTCCAAAGGAAATGGCTATAGCATATCCTATCAGCAGAAAATATATATAAAATAGATTATTTCATCACTATTTTACTGATGTAGGAAAAAAATAGGATTAAAGTAGTCTGTTTTGCTGGTTATTTTTCCACTTGTTTAGAGAAAATAGAAATAAAATACACCACCTTGTTCAATCTTGCTTTAAAATAGGTTTAAAATAGAAGTAAAACACAATTAAAATAGTGGCTCTTTTTTCCCCATCAGGTAAAATAGGAATAAAATATAAGTGTGAGAGAATAAAATAGTATAAAAATAGATGTCATAGCATTAAAATAGACATGAAATAGAAATAAAATAGGAATGTTTTTGCAAAGGCTACCAGCTAGAGGTACAATACCAAGTAAAAAAAAATAAATGTAAATGTACTCTTGTAAAAAGTGATTCCAAGGAGTGGAAGACTACAACTTGGAGTGCAGAAAAGTAAAATGTGGAGCAAACCCCAATAAAATTGGGCAAAGTCGACTAAGTATGTAAGCTGTACCTGTACCAAGCTCCTTCAGATCCTTCAAGCTGGAGGTACAAGACCAAATAGAAATAAATAAATGTGTACGTATTCTTGTAAAAAGTGATTCAAAGGAGTGTAAGACTAATTTGGGGTGCTGAAAAGTAAAATGAGAAGCAAACTGTAGTAACAATTAAGAGACGTTGACTAAATATGCAAGCTGTACCTCTAGCCGGTAGTATTTTCTAAGCTTCCCGAGATCCTACCGGCTAGAGGTACAAGACAATATAGAAATTTCATCTTGGGGATCTTCCCAACCAGTAGCACTATGACAAGGGCATTATAGTGGCGATACTATTCATATGTTTTGTTTACCTTTGGAAGCGTAGATCTTAGCAGCTACAGTGTTAAACTCTGGTGAACAAGAAACTTAAGATCGACGAGGGTGAAGGAAACAGCCACACAAAATTTATCGAAATTTCCTTGATTTAAACTCAAAAACGTATTCTCCACATGTAAAGCATATTATAATGTTCATGTTTGGTTCAATCACGTGGCTTGACTGTTGGTAAATCGCGATTGGTGTTACTGGAGTAGTCCACCATATTGCAATAGCCGACAGTTTTCATTAATCACCCGACTCGGAAACTCATTAGCAGTGCTCCTCGGGCGTACCTCTCGCCGGTAGGATTTAGGCACAACCCAGATTGCAGGGGAAGGAGTTGTTGAGGGTTACTCCTATTTCGCATAATAACGGGGCTACGCGCGCTGCGAGCTCCGCTATTATTTAATTTTCATATTATTCTGTTACCGTATGTCAAGGTTCATGCCTAAAAGAATACCTTCTTTCACTGTAATTCATTATGCAAACCAGATCACTGTGGTATGGTAAACAATCGTTAGCAACAAAATTGACCAATTTTAACCGTTTGTGGTATGAATTAAACAATAGAGCGTATAATTTTTTGTTTATTTGCGATCATTAGACGTAAAATGTCCGAAATTTTAACCGTTAGCCGTAAAAGCCATCACCCCCATCGAGACCCTCTATTAAAAATTCTCTTTTTTTCAATAACAAACCGATGATTTTTGTAATGTTGTCGGCTGTCGGCTTCAATTCCACAATCTGATACGTGTCAGTAAGTGCTAGTAAGTAAGGAAAACTCGGTCTGGATGGTTCTAATCGAAAATCGAGACTGGAAAGCCCTGACAATGTCGCTGGAGTGCTCCTCTGAAAATGAATAAGAATTTATGGAGGTTGCTAATCATCATCAAGGCAAAGAGGCGCAATGCAGTATGATACATCGGTTTAGATATTGGGCAGGGTAAATTTATTAGGCCTGCGTTACGGAAAAGTACTTCCCCCTGGCTTCCTAAAGATCCCGATCTTCAGATGGGAGAGGAACACCTTTTCGCAAAAAGCCGCGATCCTCTACAAATCTCACATCCTCATCCGCAAGATAATGGAAATGTAGTTTTAAGTTACCTTGAGGTGGCAGGAAGCTTTCGACCGGCATGTTGTTCGACATTCTCGTCGACTGTAGTCATCAGACTGTTAAAGGAGTGTTTGGCGACACGGAGGATTTAAAAGGCGAGTGCTTTCACGAACACACTCGTTGCTCGTCTATTGGTATTTATAGATGCAAAAGAAAAAACTTGGATACAATGTATAACGCCGATCAAAGCGAACGAAGATGCGAAGTAATGGAAGACGGAAGTCAAAAGCCATTTAGTTTAGATCACTGCGATCAACGACGAGCTTCCGGCTGTTACTGATGAAGATGTGTCAATGGTACTTGATCTAGCGAAACCCTATCGTGGTTCCTCCTGTGAGCTCACAAAATGGCGATGTTATATCTTAGCAATAGGGTCTGTAGCATCCGCCGGCTATAGACCTTTGTCACGTTCCCGCACATATTGTCCATCCCCCCCCTCCCCCACACAAGTTTTAGGTAGTCAAATATCATTCAATGGCTCTGCAGATCGCAACAGAAATAAAAAACAATGTCCAAAATTTTTAATGCTTTGGTTTAACTTGTAAGAGAGGCGATCGAAGCTTGGAAAGAATGGAAAGAAAGTCGGCTGCTCGTGGATGATACATATCAATAATGTTCCTTTAATAAAAAATCTCTAAAAACAACGGCGTGTTACACTTCTTCTTCTCTTCTAAGGTAAATACTTCGGGATCAGAAGCATCACCTTAAATGAAGAAAACATCATCAAGATAGCTATTATAACTTGAATGCTATCTAATTGAAGTGCCACTAAGAACAATTTACAAACAACTCCTCAAAAACTGTTCCATGCGTTCACAAAAAGGAAAAGATAAAAAAGCTTCTTACAATGAAAAGTAGAAAAGGAAACGTACAATAAGTTCAATTATTACTTCAGAATCCGTTCAAGTCATTCGCAGCTTTGTACATCTTTGTTAACAACCTTCTGCGTCAGATATACACATCCTCAAACCAGGACTAATAGGATTGTCTGACAACTTCAAATGGATTAGCCTGTTGAAACTGAGTGCCCTAATAATAGATATAGCACCGTCATCGCCAATATCATTCTCAGACAAATCCAACGTGGTTAGAGTCTTGTTGCCTTTGATTGCCTCAGCAATGGATGTAGCACCGACATCACTAATACGATTCTCAGACAAATCCAACTTGGTTAGAGTTTTATTGACTCTGATTGCATAAGCAATATATGTAGCACCGGCTTCACTTATACCATTGAGAAACAATTTCAAATTGGTTAGCGTGTAGTTGACTTCGACTGCTTCAGCAATAGATGTAGCACCGGCATCACTGATACGATTGTCAGATAAATCCAATTTGGTTAGCGTGTTGTTGACTTTGATTGCCTCAGCAATAGATTTAGCACCGGCTCGACTAATATCATTGCCAACCAAATTCAAATTGGTTAGCGTGTTGTTGGCTTTGATTGCCTCAGCAATAGATGTAGCACCGGTATCACTAATACGATTCTCAGACAAATTCAAATGGGTTAGGGTGTTGTTGACTTTGAGTTTCTCTGCAATATATGTAGCACCGGCATCACTAATATCACTCTCTAGCAAGTACAAATGAGTTAGCGTCTTGTTGACTTTGATTGCA